ACAGTAGTCGTGGCTCCTGGGGGCACAGTCCTATGGTTATAGAGAATCTCAGTTGAGTTCCACCACGGAATATGTGAGCGAGCGGTGCTATATTGCTACCTCTTTGTCACCGAGGCCCGTTGGAACAGTTGGCATGACGTTTGCATGATAACCTAACTGTCAGGGTTTCAATTCTCGGTAGTGGATGCACACTCCTGATGAGTCCCAAATATAGGACGAAACGCCCGTCCAGTGCTTTCTGCATTCTGTTGAGGTTTCTTTCAGACTCAATGAATTACTTAATTATAATTATCAAATCCTCCTAATAATTTCTATCACTTATATATATATATATATATATATATTTTATTATATATGCATATATATATATATATATATATATATATATATATATATATATATTATTATATATGTATATATATTATTATATATGTATATATATATTATTATATATATATATATATATATATATATATATATATATGTATAATGGGTTGTTACTCATTTCCAAGTTTACAAGTAGCTAATCCTTTTTGTAGACACCTGGTCACAAACGCTTCTGCTTCTTCCACACCCACAGAGTTGACTTGTAGTTTATCCTGCAACTATAGTGAGCAAACTTTAGTTACACTTTCTAGAAGAGAGTGCATCATCTGACATGATCAGGAACTAAACAAGTCAGTATGTCCAGACTTTTGACTCTGTTACTTACAATCATCAACAGTAAACCAAAGGCTGTAGCTTGTCTGAACATTTACCATGAAAATAGTGCTAGCAATGATTCATCTGTGGGAAAGCGGTTGTAATGTGGAAAATAATTCATCGCCCATAAGGCAGTGCAGACACTTTTGAACTCCATCAAGGCCGGAAAGTAGAATGAATTACCACTAACTAAACCAAAGGCTAGTCTTCTTCCAAAGTAATTGTTGTAATGGAATGTCCCACACTCCCTATCACATATGTAAACTGACTATATCAGTAGATATATAGTCAGAACAGGATATACCTGTTGGACTTGTTTCAGCAATTACTAGCCTGCTAACTGATTCCCTGTCTTTCAGTGGTGTATTCTCTTTTACAATAAACCTCTCTTTCTTTCATCTGTACACATGTTGCTGTTTCTTTCACTCGAGTACCACCTTTTTCTGTTTGTAACCTTTTAAAGGATACAACAGTAATTGATAGTGTTCATACAATGGGATTTAAAAGGAGTTGTCTACCCTGCAATCCTTCCAGAGAACCAAGCAATTGATTGAAACAAGTATTGTTCCCTATTAGGCTAAATGATGGCAACATTTAATGAAAAGTGCCTGGAAATTATTAAAAGAATTTGCATAATATTTCATCAAGATAATTAATAACCAGGTCAAACTTGGCAGAGAAGTGTTTACTCTTTTACCATATTCAACAAATATTATGGCATGGCCATATCACATTGAAACATCAGTTCCTATACAATCACCAAAGTTAAGCAATATCAAGCTTGGTCAGTACCTAGATGGGTAACCACTTGAGAATACCAGCTGCTGTAAACTTGATTATATGGGTTGTGTAATGGACAATTGGGTTTGTTATATTCACTTATGCACAAATACCCTTGGAAAGTTTATGAATCAACCTTTTTTTACTCCCCCCCCCCCAATGGGTTAATTAGTAGAAACTGCATCTCCAAAAAATTCTTCCCATCTAAAAATATTCTCTGGCTTTAAATAAACTGCGAAAGGTAGATAAGCCACAAAAAAAAATCAATCAATCAACAGATATTACACCTGTAATGAGGTAGGTGGGTGCGTTGTTAATGTAAGTTACCCCATGTTACATTTATTAGTAGTTGATAGAGGATTACTTTTCTTTCTTATACTGAAAATGAAAAGGAATAGAACGTACAACAATAAAATACCAGAAACAAGACTTTGCAACACATGTTGAAATTAATGATAAGAATGGGTATTTTCACAAATGTTATTTACAAAACTGGTTTTGCGTGTGTTAAATGTTCTCAGGGTTATTGTCTCTTTTTGTTTCTTTGAAAATTTGGTTTTACTTGTTTATAATTGTTTCTGAAAAATCTGTTGTTAAGGGAAGCATTTTATACCGTCAACTCTGGACTTTCTCAGAGCAAAGAAAATACATCTTGTTCAGTCTGTGTTGATTTCACTACCCTCTCTCCTTGTGATGGAAAGGCTGTGTCTCTTGCGACAGTGGAAAATCTATTTTTAGAATGATGAGATTTTAGATTTTTATTTTTATTATTTTATTTATAATGAAATATCATTATCATCATCATCATGAATCATAGCACACATTCCAGTTATCATTTATTCCCATGTTTAGAGAATTCTCTTAATGAAAAAAATGATTCAATTTCCTGAATGTGTGGGGGTTGTATAATTGATAAAATAAAAAAAAACAAAAAAAAAAAACACAAAATAAGATAAAGGAAATACAAAAAAAGAAATAAAGAAAAATTTCCCAGGATGCTCCCTGACAGGAAGAACAAATGGTGCATGCGCAAATAAAGAGGGACTTCCTGGCACCAAAGACAAATGAGAAGAATTGCTCTCTTTTCCCCTAACTTTTCAACAGGTAAACACGTGTCTTTTGCTTGGGAAGGCACTTCCCTTCAACAGACCATTGCTACACTGTCATAAAGTTCTTAAATCTATTTCCAGTGTCTCGGTCTCCTTTCCTTTGAACATTCTATTTCATCAACAAAAAGAATTTAACATGAATCTGGGGTTCAAACAAAATCACCAGAAACATCCAAAGAATTATGCCTTAAAAACTCCAAAAATGATTGCAAAAAAAGTACTAAGAGCAGTTCTTTGCTGGAACAGATAAAAAGTTCTGGGTCAAGAGAATTAGGAAGTTGACTGAAAAATGAAAGATAATGCACGAAATTGTTTAATGTACTATTTAGGGTTCTTTTCTTTTTTTTATTCATTCCCTTTTCTTTTCTTTTTCAATGATGAATCTTTTAGAAGTCTCCATGTTTACCAAATCACAGGCTACAGGAACTTATATTAAAACAATTCAAAAAATTATATATGTAAATCTCATTGAAGAGCAAATTTTTCAGTCTACCCAGGCCAATCACAGTCAGAATACTGATGACATCTGAAGAGGTTTGCTATTCCTTCAAAGTAGCATTCTGGGTAGACTGATCCTGGATTCTTCAAAGAGATTTACATATATAATTTTTTAGAAAAGCTACAACATTTGGATTGTACTCCCATTGTTCCAGATTGGTGTGCCATGTAAATCCTTAGGTTAATGAATGGAGTTAGCTATACTAATGTTATACTTAACTTAAAAAACTGTACTTGTCCAACCTGATGGTTAATTCATGTTCTTATAAGTGATGAGGGGGATATTCTCCAAATCTTTGTTCACAAAGTGAAGTCATGATTTTTTTTCATATTTAAAAACATTTATAATATTTATTACGCTTATTTAAAAAAATTTTTTTAATTTCTTCATGGTTTCCCTCTTTAAAGATTTTATTCAAAAAATTTTTTTCTTTAAAGATTTTATTAATTTCTTTGTAAATTGTCATCATTTTACCACAGGTGCAAGATTTCTCAGCATTTTTTTTTTTTGTTAAGGACAAGTTTTAAGTTGAAGCTTATTCAGCTTTCTTTGTTGATCTGGGAAAAATGGTAGCAATTTGAATGGAAAGTGTGAACTTATTGTTATACTATTCTATAGTTAATAGACTCTCCCACCTATAATAAGTAGGAGTAGTAGTAGCAGTTGCTCAGTGAGTTGGTCAGTCAGTCGATGTCGGACGAATGTTAGTCAGATATTAAAGTATCAGCCACCCCAACTAAATTACTGCGTCATTACCTATTATATCAAGTTCCTAACATTTTGTATGTCGAACCTTTTTTAGGACCGACTTAGTACAAATACAAGCCTCCACTGTGAAACCACTATATAACACTTATACAACCTCTTCACCAGATATTCCACCTTTAAGTTAATATTTATTCCAGACTTTAGAGTTCTCTTGAAAAAAATGTTTCAATTCTTTGGTAAACTGCAAAATGTACCTAGAGTTGTTCTTTGTGGAGACAGCTCTGGAAGGATGAAATTATAAAGTTAGCTGAAAAATGGTAGAAAATAGTGGAACAATTTGGTAAATAATTTTATTTTAACTTAATAAGCCAACCAAACATGTTTTCTTGTGTATAATTGGACTTGAGTCTAATACAACCCTGTGTTTCTGAAGCTAAAAAAGAGGGAATAAATTACATCCTTGAGAATAATATGACCCTGTAGTACAGCCATCCCTATGTAATTAAAGCTGGAGATTGAGATCTGGGCAGCTCCCACCCAAATTTGACAATAGTACTTCATTTTTGACGATCTGGATCTTGTAAAGACAGAGGATAGCAGGAGGAGTAATGTACTTACTGGAGTGGTACAGGAAGCTAACTATTTTACCTACAGTCTTAGCAATGGATTGTATATAGTACGGGGAAAGTTTGTCCCGGCTTTCCTGCATCCAAGGGTTGAGGTTAAAAAATTGAGCTGAGGTTAAAAATTGTGACAAAACGCGAGTAAAAAAACAGCAAGATTAGAGCGGACAAACTCTCTCTTTTAGGTGCAGGCAAATAAAGAAAAACCTCCTGCTTGGTGTATAACAATAAAAGAAGAAAGTGTTTATTTACATATACAGAAAAAAAAGGGTAAAGGGATAAAGACAATTAAAATTGAAATAAAGGGAAAAGAGAAAATGTCCTTTAAGGGAAGAGAAAATTTTCATAACAGAAAAAAGGCTTGCTCAAAATATTTCTCTGAGCACCTAAAATGTTCTTTAAGCAAGTAGAATTTTGTTAAGGTTATAGAAATGCTCACATTTCTTGTAGCGTAGGAAAATTGTTGGTAGATATAGGAATCTTGCAGTTGAGTGAGTTCGTAGGTCAACCACAGACATCCAGTAGGCATGACAGAAGATGTGAAGGGATGCAGCTTTAAATTGGTTTTCTAGTAGTGGCCTGATGGTCTGTCTCTCCAGCCCGGCAGGAATTTCTTCTTTGGTTGAAAGTGGTTCTGAAGTTGACTGGAGCTCCCTATCGTTGACCTTACAGATGGTGGGCTGAAGTCCCACTGCCAAATAGGCAAAGATTCTCCAAATTTATGGAGATTTGGTAGGCTCAGAAGAATCAGGGAATTTTCCCTCCAAAATCATTAAAAATCAAAAATCATTGTTCTCAAATTAAATTCCAATAATAGAAGTTCCACTCTATTAATAATTTTCTGTTTGATATGACTATTATATTTCTATATATTAATAAACTATGAAATTAAAAAAATGTTGTCTTTCATTAAGAATGAAGAGAGAAACAAATATTGCTGACTTATCAAATACCTTTTATAAGTAATTGTTATCAAGATTTAATGTGATTAATCCCATTTGCTGCATATCCATGATAAAATATCTAAAGAAATGTCAAATTAGGAGAAAACAGTTTGTATTTTATAGCCAGATTATGAAAATCAAATGCAAAATGAGTTTAGTTGTATGACTAATATAATTGCAATACTAATTATCAAAAAAATCCTGGTGCCTCTTAAATAGACTGGTCTACTCATAAAAATAGGAAAAATAGGAAATAATTCTTTCAAATAAGCATTCTTTAGATCTTCCTTAGGCTGCAACACTTGTCAGATTTGAGAAAATATTGAATTTTTATTGATTTAGAAGGGGAGTCCTGTTTATAATATTGGTACAGTGTCAAATTGATACCTGATTTTTACAGAGTTATTGGCTTTAGATGTTTGGGATACAAAAGCAGACCTTTTTTGAGGTGAGGTTATAAAAAGATTTCTCTTAAATAATGCAAAAACAGATATATACATTTTTACATAAGGAACAAAGATTCACATAAATTATTAAAATTGTGTATCTGTTTATACATAAAGAACAAAGATTTACATAAGTTGTTAAAATTATATATCTGTTTATTGTTTTATTTTTCTTTATGTAAAAATGCATATATCTGTTTATTTAAGATAAATAATTTTGAAATGCAAATGTTTATGCAAGCACTTACAAAAAAATTTCATACAAAAAATGTCTTTAAAAAATATAAAAGAAATTTAAAAATTTAGAAAATTTAAAAAATATGCAGATATTAACACTTTCACTGCTGTATTGTCATAGCATTGTTACCTGGCTGTGCTGGCCCATTTTGGGAAAAATAAGAAATTGTCATTTACTGGATTTTTTTTTTAAATAATTTCACCCCAAGCAAGACAACATAGCAACTAACATGCAGGGACTTACTGAGTGTAAAAGAATATAAGAAAAACATTGTTAAGGAGCAAGAACAGTAAAAGAATAGAAATTAAGAAGACAGAAGATAATGATTAATATTGCATTTAAATTTTTGAAGATTAATAAATGACTTTAAATATAACTGATAGCCCATGGGTGCCACCATTTTAGTTTCAATCAGATACTCTGCAGTATAGACTAAGCTATTCTAATGCTAGGATCTAACATTTTACAATGTCTTAATAATGTATATATACGTCAACAGCAAGCAATGCTAGGATCTGACATTTCACAATGTCTTGATAATGTATATATACGTCAACAGCAAGCAATGCTAGGATCTGACATTTCACAATGTCTTGATAATGTATATATACGTCAACAGCAAGCAATGCTAGGATCTGACATTTCACAATGTCTTGATAATGTATATATACGTCAACAGCAAGCAATGCTAGGATCTGACATTTCACAATGTCTTGATAATGTATATATACGTCAACAGCAAGCAATGCTAGGATCTGACATTTCACAATGTCTTGATAATGTATATATACGTCAACAGCAAGCAATGCTAGGATCTGACATTTCACAATGTCTTGATAATGTATATATACGTCAACAGCAAGCAATGCTAGGATCTGACATTTCACAATGTCTTGATAATGTATATATACGTCAACAGCAAAACAATGCTAGGATCTGACATTTCACAATGTCTTGATAATGTATATATACGTCAACAGCAAGCAATGCTAGGATCTGACATTTCACAATGCCTTGATAATGTATATATACGTCAACAGCAAGCAATGCTAGGATCTGACATTTCACAATGTCTTGATAATGTATATATACGTCAACAGCAAGCAATGCTAGGATCTGACATTTCACAATGTCTTGATAATGTATATATACGTCAACAGCAAAGCAATGCTAGGATCTGACATTTCACAATGTCTTGATAATGTATATATACGTCAACAGCAAGCAATGCTAGGATCTGACATTTCACAATGTCTTGATAATGTATATATACGTCAACAGCAAGCAATGCTAGGATCTGACATTTCACAATATCTTGATAATGTATATATACGTCAACAGCAAGCAATGTAAGTTTCATAAAGACACATAAGTATGCCAACAGCTGTATAAGTGTAATGATGTTAACACATTTTCCAACTTGACATTTGTAAATAACATATTAAGTGACTTAGTCTAAGGCTAATAACTCAGTAAAAGTCAGGGATTGATTTGACATTGTATTGATATTATAAACAGGCTACCCTTTCTAAATTGATAACAAATAAATTTTTTTTTTTATTCTGATGAGTGTTGTGACCTAAATGTCTAAAGAATGCTTATCTATAAATAATATTTTCTAAAAACATTTTCCCTATTCTTATCAGTGGACCAGTTTATTTAAGTAGTTGCAAAATCCAAATGGAATACCAATCTCCTCCATTTTGAAAAATGCAAGTAACTCTGTTAGAAATCAAAGAAGAAAAAAAGAAATTTGGTATAAATTAGTACAGGAAAAATTTAATCTAAAACTCATAAAATCTAAAAACTTTTAGCCTTTATAATTCCTGGTATATATGGGGCCATATTTGCTCTGATTTGTGCTGTCCAACATATGCATCAATTCTGCAAAATGACCATCCTGTTTAATAAAGGCTCACCATCCAACCATTCTCAAATGGCTCTAATTGAACATGACATGACATGTTGCTTGCACTGAATTCTTTCATCACATTGAACTTTATTGCAGTATACATCCCCAACTAAAACTCAGATAAAGACAGTGCACAGTTATAAGTGTTGCCACATCACAAGTTGACTGAAGACTGAAAATTCTCTCACAATATCTGTAACACCTAGCATGCACATACTAACCCAGGTCAAAGTTTTTCAAGGTGATAACATTTTATTTCCTCTCAGTATATATATATATATATATATATATATATATATATATATATATATATATATATATATATATTGTGTATATTTAGGCAGCAATTTTTCACTAATGCATGTTTCATTAAATAATATAGACAAGTTTTGTCTATTTATTTTAAGTAAGTTCCTTCCATATTGTCTGATAAGCTTAATCACATTATTGTTGAAAGACAAATAAAACACCATATTGATACATGTTTAAATCCAATCTAAGCTTTCGGCTTACACAAGCCATTATCAAAGATGACAATTTCAATAAATCAAACAACACATGGACAAAACAACAATGATAGTCCACCCTTGCTGCATGAAAAATTTCAAAGTAATGACAAACTCATATATATATATTTATGCAGATGCTCCGTTTTTTAGCATATGTAGGCTGGTAAATGAAATAATAAAAATATGTTGAATTAAAAAATAAAATATATAAATTCTTTAGAAATTGCTTTGTTTATGCTTCAGATATGAAACTGGGCAGATATGTGAATATTCTTTAAAGACAAATAAAACCTTATTTTATTGTTAAGCTCTTTGTAGCTGAGTGGTTAAAGCACAGTGATTTCTCCTGCAAAGGAGGAGGCAGGTTCAAATCCTGTTGGAGGGTACATTTCCATTAATAAATTTTCTCAAGTGTGCATGCTGGTAGATGAAATAAATACTGTTTAAAATAAAAATAGCACAGCTACTCAAATATGAGTATCCACTAAATATACATACACACACACACACATATATATATATATATATATATATATATATATATATAAGTTTGGAGGAGAACCTGGCAGAATAGTAAATATCTGTTTTCTAATTTGTCTAATATATATATATATATGTGTGTGTGTGTCTGTGTGCTTTGTGTGTGTGTTTTCATTAAATGTGCTTGCAATAAATTTAGGCATTTCTTTACAGGAACATTTGTATATAAGGATTTTATATCTAAACTCACCATATATTTGTCTTTTTATGCCTGTTTTTAATCTAGACAAAAGATAAATATAAGGTCAGTTTGGATATGACATCTTTAATATATATCAAACTATCCATATACAAATATTCCTGTAAACAAATGCCTAAATTTACTAAAAACACATCAAAAATAAAAATGATGTCTTCCTGTATATATATATATATATATATATATATATATATATATATATATATATATATATATATATAGGAGGCATGGTGGAGTAATGGATAGCAGCTTGGATTGAGCTGAGTTCGAATTCCAGTCAAATCAATTACACTCACTTACATGCTAATACCCTTGGGAAAGGTGTGAATCCTCTTCTTCTCCCTCCAGTTATGGGTAAATAGCAGAACAGACTGGGTTCTATAGCCTTGGATGGCAACTGGTCTTGGAGAAGGACAACTCTGAATTTAAAACCTGCATGGAGTCGTTTGGGGACCTTGTGGCACTTAGTGCACCAGGTCTCTGAATTTGGCCCTTCAAAAAGTGTGGCTGGTCCTGCACGAAACCTTCACCACTATAATCAAATCTCATGTGCTGTTGTCGGGTTGTCGGTTTCCTGAGAACTGATCTGCTTGACCCTCATACGTCGAACTCGACAGGAGAGTTGACGATATATATATATATATATATATATATATATATATATATATATATATATATGTATGTGAATCATATTTTTATATATATATATATATATATATCAGTATGATTCAAGAAAGACATTGGGGTTACTACTACACAAAAAAGACAATGGTTAGACATCAAAAAACATAAGGAAAATTAATTCCTTTTAATGATATGTGGAAATATCCACTCATTGCCTGAAGAAGGTCATGTGTATGTGTATGTATGTATATGTATATAAATACATATTTATGTATGGATATGTATATAAATGTATGTATATGTATATAAATACAGTCAGCTAAAGGAGCAGTGGAACTTAGTCTGAAAATTGCATTGAAGCATGACATTGACAGTCACAATGCTACTATGTCTACATTGTCTATATCTATAAATGCTCTATCTCCAATATTGAACATTCTTCCCCTTTAAATATATCAAACTGTAACTATATATATATATATATATATATATATATATATTAAAAAGAAGAGGGGTGCCGCAAACGTTTTTGGTTGTAATGTGGATTTATTGAGAAAAAATATTATACTTTGTTTTACATAATTTCACGACACGTGTTTCTGGTCTGGTCTCGCAACCGTCTTCAGGTGAAAGTGGAGATTTTTACATATTATTAAAAATAATTAATTTTTTTTATAAAAATAATTAATTTTTCTTCATGTTCAATGTGGAATTCTAGAAAGAAAATTCGGATTGCCAACACACAAACAGAATGTCTCATATCGAGAATATTCCACATTGAACATGAAGAAAATTAATTATTTTAATAATATGTAAAAATCTCCACTTTCACCTGAAGACGGTTAAGAGACCAGACCAGAAACACGTGTCGAAATTATGTAAAAACAAAGTATAATATTTTTTCAATAAATCCACATTACAACCAAAAACGTTTTAATTTTAATATACATACTTTTCTCTCATTGGAACCACTACAACATATTTCTTTTATATATATATATATATATATATATATATATATATATATATATATATATATATCCCTTCAGACATTATTTTTTAGTAGAAATCTTTGTTTGAAATACCTGCCTCAATTTTTTAAACAATATGTATTACATCTACTGGCCTAAAGACTTAAAGAAAATATGCTTTCTGCGAGAGTTCAAACCTGCATCCACTTTTGTAAGTGAAACTACCATCTGATCCACCACTCAGCCACAACAAGATTCTATTTATCCTTTTTAAGGAATACATCTACCTTCATTCATATTTTCTCAAAAGCCTATATATATTTAATTCTGTATCCAAAATGTAAAGAAAGCAATTTATAAAGAATTAATGGATTTATTTTTAATGTGACATTTGTAATACTTAAAATGTTATTTTTAGTTTAAAATAGATGCCCTATTTTTTTTTTTTTTTCAACAATGTGTAATATGTTTACCAGTTAGCAGTCTAAATCACATCGGATCAGACAGTGGTTTCTCCTACAAAGGAGGACACAGGTTCAAACTTTGCTGGAGAGCACATTTTCCTTATTAAGTTTTGTCTAGTATGCTTTCTCAAACCAATGATTAAAAATGGCTTTAAATAAATGAAGCCTGTAAGTTTGAACAAGGACCATCCTTCTTTGAAACTTATAGATTGATTGGTACTACAAAATCATGAAAACCTATACCAATTAACAAAAACCACTTGAGGACTTTCAACAGTAGCAACAACTAAAAGGGATATCACGCATAACTTTAAGAGATAATAATGATATAATCAAGATATAGACGTTTGACATTATTTCAAACCCAAGGTTGAAAGAAAGCTTCACCAATATTGGAAATAGTAATAACAGTGGACTTGAGAAACCTATTTTCCTGAAAATTGTTTTAATAGAAAGATTTTATAAATTTAAGCCGAAAGTAGAACTGAGTGCTCGGTCAATGAATATTGAATGTTTCCTTATCAGGAAACAGCTAATATTACCATTACCATTACGTATATATAAAACTGTATTTTCAAATGCACAAAAATACACACATCTTCCCACCTGATACATACATATAGAGAGAGAGATATAGATATAAATATATGTATATATAGATAGATATAAGTAGTGAAACAAGTAAGATCAATGAGTTTGATTGCTCCTGTTCTGTCTCTGTGGCCTGACCACATCATAAAGAAGATTACTTCAGAAACTGCGCAGACAAAACTAACTGATCAATAGAGACAATTTCTTTCAGAAATATTCAACCAGCTTCTGCTTTTATTAATCCATTTGTTTTCCTTCTTTATCAACATCGTCTTCTCTATTCTTCCTGCCAACTCTCTTTCACTCCTCTTTTTTTCTTTCTTTCTTACTTTCTTTCTTTCTTTCTTTCTTTCTTCTACTTCATCATCAGCATCAGCTTTTCTTACCATGATCATCTCTCTTTTTCTTTTCTTTGTTGTTTTCAGTTTTTTCTCTTCCTTTCCCTTTCACTAAGTTCTTATTCTCTCTCTTCCTCTACTCCTTGTTTCTTACTTCTCTCTATTACTATCTATCTATTTTCTCCACTTGCTACATCTACTCTTTCTTTAACTCTTGTTTTACCATTAAATCATTGTATTTCTCTTTTTACCACTTACTATTTTTTCTTGTACAACCATTTTGAGACAAGTGAAGAGGCTTGACCATTTTGGTACTGGACCAAATTTCACAATGCTAAATTGATTTTGTTTCCTTTTTTTATCTCTTTGCATAATTAATTCTTTAGTTTTTCTTGTCTTTTACTCGTGACAGTGAATAAATGAAAAAATATTAAGCAATTCAGGATTTTGGCAGTAGACAATGTTAACAAATAATCTTTGTATTAAAATTTTTGTGCACTGCAACAAAAATAAAGTCTTTGACTGTATTTACTAGGACATCATGATTAAAATTCAGAAAGAGATCCTTAATTCTTTACACTGTTTATATTCAGACAATTGTTGTTATCACAACAAAGATGAGGACAATTGTAATAAAAACAACTAAGATGAGGACAATAGTCTGCATGTAAATAGTGTAAATAATAACTCCTTCTCCCAGAAATTCAGAAATCCTTAATTATTTTTTATATGTCCAGGAAAGGGATATATTTGATCGAAGTAGCTAGGTGGTTTTGGCTACTATAACCAAGTAGTACATGGTAGCAGTAATCAACTGGTACTCATCATAGTCACAGGTAATAAGTGTAGACCAATAGGATAGCCAATGGCATAGTCCAATAGGCATCATCATAGACTTAAACTCTGTTGTACCTACACATCTGTCTGTATTTATGACGGACACCAGCCAATCATATTCCAGTGAGGGGGAATATAGGTGTATGCATATTCCATTATATCAATTTTCAATCATTCTAGGGTCATAGATTTTATAGCCACAAGTCGAATTACATAAGAAATTATAATTTTAGTTAAGATTAGAATCAATCAGTTAGGGTTATAATGATTTAGTTAGTGTAGCTTACTTGTGGCACAAGGCCAAAAGCATGTAGCCCCTAGTGAGGATCAAACTCACTACTCAGTTATAACTGATCTACTGAGATAAGTGTGCTAACCATCACACCACACTGAAGTGCTCAATTAGTTAGGGTTATAGATAGTCACAAGTGTATTCATTTAAGAAATTTCAGCTATACAGAAAATGTAATCAGCAAGCCAATTTGAAATTATGGCTAAAATATTTGTATTCACTTCATAATAATATCCTTGGGAAAGGATCAGGATCACTCTTTTCTCCTCCCACTCAAGCTATGGGCAAAATAGTAGAACAGACTGAGTTCACTAACCTTTAGAAATGAAATGTGCCAATTCTTATGTATTTTAGCATGCTGAATTCAAAAATGGCCTTCAAATTAGATAATTGACTCTAGATTTAGAGATCGGTCTCTATTTGAGATGAAGTATTGTAACTATTTACACTATTTACATTGTTCGGACTGTTGTCCTCATCTTTATTGTCACATTCACAATGTTTTGCCTGTTGTACATTCAACCCTTCTTCAGGTCATATACATTGGAATTTCAAACCAAACCCTTTATTTCATCCATGGGGGTAGATTATTCTAGTTCCACCTGCCATGCCTTTTCTAGATATCACAGTTTCAGTTCATACCCTTTGGTAATTCAACTCTCCAAGATTTTGTTCACCACTGCTATATTCAGGTATTGAACTCACAACTCTTTGGGTCAAGTCACTGGATTACTTCAAGCAATACTTTTATCCACTGGGCTATGTATCCTTGAGGGCACATGGCTCAGTGGCTAAAAAACTTGGTGAATTGAGTTACTAAAGGGAAATAACTGAAAACTGAAATATATAGAAAAAGCATGACATGTGGAACTAGAACAATCTACTCCAGTGGACAAAATAAAGAGTTTGGTTCAAAATTCCAATGTATATCCTCTAAAGAAGGCCGGAGTGGACAACAGCTGAAACAATATGAGAATAAATGACAATAATGATGAGGACAACAGTCCAAAAAATAAATTTAGAGATATTTAGTTAGTTATGTCATATACATGAGTACAGTGGATGTCTCCAAGAAAAACAATGTTGCTTTGCAAAATCTGTGTTGATATTCTGTTCTATCTAGGCAACCATAGCAATACACAAACACATCAAGATGGTAATATATGTGCTTAATGAATAAAATACAACAAAACTCTCTTTAGAAGTGTATTCATGTGCAACCACACATTGCTTCTTAGTTTGTATTTTTTTAAATTGCAGAAGGATCATCTCTGGTCATAGTTCAACAATCAGACATCATCAATAGACTTGTATCTGTCTATATTTCTTAGATGAGGTATTATGTACACTATTTACCTTAAGGACACATGGCACAGTGGATAAAGGCATTACTTAGATCCAGTGACAGGACCCAAAGAGTTGTGAGTTCAATACCTGGTTAAGGCAGTGGAGAACTTGAAGAGGGGAATTAACAAGAGATAATTGATAACTGACATCCATTAGACATGACACATGGAACTAGAACAGTCTACCCCAGTGAGTGAAATAAAGGGTTCAGTTTGACATTGCAACCACCTGAAGAAGGCCAGAGCATGCAATGGCTGAAATGTTGTGATAAATATGGCAACAATGTAATAGTCCGAATAATGTAAATAGTGTATCGATAGACTTCACCAGCACCTGGGAGAAAAAAATCAAGCTGCGAGTCTAAGAAGGGGGTCTTCAATGAAGTGTTACAGCCAAGATGTTTGTATATCTTCAGGAGGTCTCCCACCAGTTTTCTACAATTTTCTGCTCTTTCATTATCCAGAAAGTTGGTTGCCACTGACATGAAAGCTTTACATGCATTTTTTTTTCCTTTCCTTGTAGTACTCAGTCAAAATTTTCAAGCTTGATGTAAAGAGACAGCAACAAAATTTTCTTTGACTCATCTAGTGGTGGATGCTGAATATTTTTCCTTCCAGTGACTGTTGTAGAGGCCATTTCCTCTTTTGATGCAATGAGAACTTAGTTTCTGCTCTCCAATTCACAAATGCAGCAACAGTTCTTGATATATTCACTTTGCACTCCTAGCAAGAGAGCAACAAATTCACATCTTTGCAAAGTTGCCAGTCATGTTGATCATAGTTGATACATCTCAGTAGCTGCTTCAATGTGTCATAAGTTTCTTTAATGTGGATTGCAAGACTAGCTGAGATTGAAATTAAAACATTACCATTGTGTAACAAGGCAGCTTTGAGATTTGTCTTTGAGGAATCAATGAATAACTGCAATTCCTCTGGATTCTAACTGGTGTTAAGTGATTGCATAGGACCACTGATATCATTGCAGTACATCTTCCATAAGGAAAAATGAGACTAAATCCTTGAGACAATCATGAAAAAGGAAAATCACCAGCTCACTTCTGCTTTATTCTTAGAAAATTCCAAATCTCTAAGTCCTTTAGGTCACTTTGAATTATGAGGTGTGATTCATAGACAAATTTTCAACAATAATCTTGGTCATATGAAGTTGATGGTTCAGGCTCTCAGGTTCCATTGTCTTCTCCATCATCTGGCTCAATTTCATATGATTCCGGCACTCATGTAACTGGTATGTCTTCATTATGGGAGACAGGACACAAAGCTGAATTAATGTTCAGATATTGCACTGCTATTTTGTTTTCTTTGACAGTCCATTAGCAATTGGAGGCACTATACAGAAGTAGTAATCAGTAGCATAACTGGTTGGTTTTCTCCAAATCATGCAAAAAGCCTATATATTTTTCTTCCTGGTTAGCCATTGACTGAGATTTGTTGCACAGGTATTACAACATATGTGTGGTACCCAATTCTTGTCCTGGTCTCCAATTTTGAATCCAAAATATTTTGCTCTTGAGATGCAAAAGTTACTTTGCCACACACATAGCAGAATTTACCAACTTCAGATATTCATAAGACATTTTTATAGGTCAGTTAGATGTGAGAAAGCCTCAGTGGAAAGGAGAATAATAATCAGTTTATTTGGATAATAAGTATATGTAAGGTTATTAAAAGAATAATTAATCTAGCAAAGACAACAATATTGATGAAATATTCATATAAAACTAGTAGTTACACATTATGAAATGGACAAATTTTAACAATTATTTTAAGACATTCTTTATGTTTATACGTTCTTTTTATAGATACAAATATTTAAGTAAATGTTCTGTTTATTATAGACAGTATTAACAACATTTACTGGCCTGAATGTCTAAGAAATTTTTATAGAAAATATGCGTCCTCCAACAGGAATTGAACCTGTATCATTATATATGGAACTATCATATAGCTTGATGTGCTTTTACTGATTAAGCCACAGAGGAGCATTTCAGTTAGCAAGGTCAAATTTATTGTTTTTAAACTACAATTCTCCATGATTTTCTCGCATACATTCATATCTGTTCGATGCATATCCAAATGTAAACAAATGACGTCACACATTATGAAATGGACAAAGTCCGACAATTATTTTAAGACATTTTTATGTTTATACATTCTTTTTATAGATACAAATATTTAAGTAAATGCTCTGTTTATAACAGACTGTATTAACAAGATTTACCAGCCTGAATGTGTAAGAAATTTTTATAGAAAATATTTGCCCTCCGACAGGAATCAAACCTGTATCCTATATGGAAGCATCATATTTGTATCTATAAAAAGAACATATAAACATAAACAAAATGTCTTAAAACTAGTAGTGTATCTTGAAATCTAGATCCAATCAACAATTTTGGATATCATTTTTATTTCCAGTACTCCCAAATTAGCTAATATTGGCTATTTTTGATTTTGAAGCTTACACATTGTAGACTAATGTATATTATGTGTGTGATACTCTTATATAAAATATAAGAAATTTTACATTAAAATCAAAATTTAAATTATACAAATGGTTGGTTCTCTCTAAATCATGCAAAATTATATTTTACAATTGTATCTAAACTGAACATTCCTGTCATTTTTAATGTTGGCCTAACAGCTTTTTAAAAATCATTTCACTTGAAGTATGGCAATAAAGCCACTGAGATGCCAGGGGTTACTCAATGTGAAAGAATATGAGAAAAAGAAAAACATTATTAAGAAGAAAGAAGAATAAAGAACAGGAATGAAGAAAATGGAAGATAATGATTGATACTGCATTTAAATTT